CTTCTAGTCCCAGGAATCGAAGCGGGGTCTCCTGCATTGCAGTCAGACAGTTTACCCTCTGAGCCACCAGGGAAGCCCAACACCTTCTAGAACTAATACCAACAAAGGTTTCTTCTCCATCATAGGGGATTGGAATGCAAAAGTAGGAAGTCAAGAGACACCTGGAATAACAGGCAAGTTTGGTCTTGAAGTATAAAACGAAGCAGGACAAAGGCTGAGTTGTGTCAGGAGAACACACTGGTCATAGCAAACACCTTTTTCCAACAACACAAGTGATGACTACACACATGGATAACACCAGATGGAGAAAACCAAAATCAGATTAATTATGCCCTTTGCAGCTAAGGATGGAGAAGCACTATATAGTCAGCAAAAACAAGACCTGGAGCTGACTCTGGCTCAGATCATGAGCTCCTTATTGCAAAATTCTGGCTTAAATGGAAAAAAGGAGAGAAAACTACTAGGCCATTCAGGTATGGCCTAAATCAAATCCCTTACAATTATACAGTGTAAGTCATGAATAGATTGTTCTTTACAACACTGAACTTTACTTTCACCACCAGACCCATCCACAACTGTCTGTTCTTTCCACTTTGGCTCAGCCACTTCATTCTTTCTGGAGCTATTAGTATTTGCCCTCTGCTCTTCGCCAGTATCATATCAGACACCTTCCAACCTAGTGGGCTCATCTTCTGGTATTATATCTTTTTGCCTTTTCCTACTGTTCATGGAGTTCTCTCGGCAAGAATACTGGAGTGGGTTGCAATTTCCTACTCTAGTGGACCATGTTTTTGTTTTTTTGTTTTTTTCCGAAATCTTCACTATGACCCATCCATCCTTGGTGGCCCTACATGGCATGGCTCATAGCTTCACTGAGTTATACAAGCCCCTTCATCATGACAGGGCCATTATCTTTGAACAGGAGATAATATTTAACACATAGTAGATACTCAATAAATGTTAATTATTGATTAGGAGCATAAGTGATTACTAACCCTTATACCTTAGGAGGACTAGTTGAAGGAACTGGATCTTTGTAACCTTGACAGATTAAGAAGATGCAAGGGACATCTTTCCTATAAAATAGGAAGTAGACTTAAGCAGTGTTGCTTTAAGGCAAAATGAGGACTAATGGGTAAGAAAACTTCAAGTATACTGATTTTAATTATAAGCAAATAGAATTTTTCTGATTATATCAACTGTTAAAAAGGAAATAAGCCATTCAGGGATAGAATGAATCCTCTGTAAATTCACTGGGTATCCCTTCTGTGCCAAGGCCCTCCCTCCAATCTGGTGCCACTTGTCTTGCTCCTCAGCCAGACCTTCACGTCTCTTAAAATAGCATTTCACCAATGAGAGAGTAAGAAATGAGAAGGAGCACCAAGTCAGCCTTTCACCTCCTTTAACCAACTCTTTCAAGTTGAAGTTGCTTCATTTGTCTTATGCAGAGGCCAAGACTGATTTCATGATTGAGGGGCCCAGTGCAAAACGAAATTGCAAAGCCTAGTTTGAAAAATTACTAAGATGTTCAAAGTGCTGACAATAAAGCCTTAAACAAAGAACAGGGCACTTTTAAGCATGGGGCCCCGTGTGACTTCATGGTTCACATACCCGTTAAATGGCCCTGAGACAACCTGTGACATTAAGCAAGCAGCTGTAGTTTCTGTAAAGGTATAGCCAGTTCTGTAACATCCTCTCTTGTATTTGCTTTCTTCTCTCTTCCCTCATGCCTGTTTTACTGGGATTAAACCCCACCACCGATAAAGCTGTTACATGCAAGCTTTGTCATAGGCACTGTTTTCTGGGAATGGAGATTGTCTGTCTATTTATTTATTTTGTAAATTTTATTGAACTTTAGTTGATTTACAGTGTTGTGTTAATTTCTGCAGTACAGCAAAGTGGATTCATGTGTGCATGCTAAGTCGCTTCAGTCATGTCCAACTCTTTGTGACCTTGTAGACTGTAATCTGCCAGGCTCCTCTGTCTATGGGATTGTCCAGGCAAGAATACTGGAGTGGGTTGCCATTTCCTCCTCCAGGGAATCTTCCTGACCCAGGGATCAAACTTGTATCTCTTATGTCTCCTACGTTGACAGGGGAGTTCTTTTCTACTAACGCCATCTGGAAAGCCCTGTGAAGCAAAGTGGTTGTTATACATATATTCTTTTCCATTATGGTTTATCACAGGATATTGAATATAGTTCCTTGTACTATACAGTAGGACCTTATTTTTTACCCATTCTATGTGTAATAGTTTACATCTGCTGATCCCAAACTCCCAGTCCTTCCCATCCCCATTCTCTCTCCCTCTTGGTAAACACAAATCTGTTCTCTATGTCTGTGAGTCTGTTCCTATTTCGGAAGGCTAACAATGATAATTGTTAATCTGTGTAATCTGAGCTTTTAAACCTTGAGGGGGCTGGTCCCTATCTCCTTTAATGTCACTTCCAACTCTAAGATACCATAATTCCAATAATTTAAGGAGATTTATTTTATATAATGGTATTTTTCTTTTAATGCAGCTATAAATTTGCAGGTGTGCTAAAATTCTTGGATTCTCACATCTCTGGTATTTTATTTTCTTTGGTTCCAGCATAATATTAATAGTTTATTAGAGGATAAGGATAGAGAAGCTTAGGAGAAGGTGTCCCTTACTTCTCTTCCTTTTCTCAGTTTTTCACTTTTCCCTTTGTTTAAGCATCTCCTGCAACCTTGCCTCTTCTGTATATTAGATAGACTTCAACTTCCTATTTCTTTTTCATTTTCATTTAATAATTAATATTCTAACTTCTGATTACTTTTGTTGTATCTAACTTTTCTACATACACATCCATTTGCAGAAGTGGGCATATGTTTAAATCCAATTCAAAACTCATTGAAATATGCATATTCATTCAACAAACATTCATTGGCTACGGTATATGATAAGTACTGAGGGAAGAGCAAAGTGTTAGGGATCTTAATATTAAGTATCACGACAGTTTAGAACAGAGACTGTGTTTATGTACACTAAACCAAAAAAAGAAAAAAAAACCTCACTTAAAACAAAAGGTAATATGTGGAAGATTGCTTAAACAAATAGAAGTGTCTATAAATGTTAGAGAATTTGGACTAGAGCTCTAGAGGGATTTATAGAGATCTAAGGATTTGACATGTGAAATTGAGGTTGATAGATGTCTAGAAAATATTGTTTTATTCAGAATTCAACTTTAGGGTAAAAGCAATTTCACTGGATTAAAACTAATGTCTCTTGTTATTTGAGTTATCTATACGTTTGTGTGTATATCAACTTGATTAGGCTGTTTTTTTATTGAACAATCAGAACAGTCCTCAGATCATCCCCTTTTTACTACTGGAATTACCATTGTGACCTAAACTTTGCCTCTGGGCACATTTTGTTTATTGCAGAAAGTTATCATGAGTTTATTTCTTCCCTGTAGCCTAAATGACATAAACAACTTGTCAACTTCATATCTTCAGCTTTTTAATCAAGTGAGTGGGAATGCAGAAGCCTTTTGAATAATTAGCAAAAATCTCCTGGAAAAACTGAAGTGGAAAAATTCAGGTTTAAACTCAGAGAGAATGGTTTTCTTCACAGTAAACTCATCCTTTAAATAAAGCAAGCAATGATTACCAAGCCGTTAGCACATTTTTGGCAGGGCAAAACTCTTTGATTTCTCTAATAAGGAATAATCTCCAAGTTTGTCAGATCTAAACAAATGGAACTAAATTGGACCTAGCTATTTGTACTGACAGATTAATAGGAAAAAAATAATTTGTCTTTAGTGTTGGTGTTTGATTTTCACTCTCTTGAACTTCCAAGTATATTTAAGCAATTTCTCCTCATTGAGTTATATAGGTGTGTATGTCAGCATGATGAATTTGTATCAGAAGACTGGCTGAAATTTGCCAGTGGTTTGATTTTTGTCAGTGTCTTGAATTATTCATTGTAATTCTAATACAATGCAGCCTCTGAATGAGACTGCAATTTACTTTAAAAAAAAAAAAAGAATTGTAATATTATTCTATTTTTGTTTCATGGTCCTTTAATGAAAAGAACTGTGTTTTAGAAACCTGTATTTAAAAATCAATGTCGCAGGCTACCTATCAAATTTTAATACTTACCTTGTCTTTTCAACTAGAACCCTGTCAAATACTGTTGATATTGATAGAATTGTCTTCATATATAATTGGTAGTCATGGAGTAATAGAGTATCTGTAAAATAGTATAAGCTTTAAAAAAAAAGGTAGCTCTGTGAAAAGAAGGCATCCTGAGAGATCTGGAAAGCGTGCACGTATTTAAGAGCGCTTTGAATATAATTCTTAAAATTACTGGTTGTCAATGAGGAGAGAAAAAGAAAAGTGCAGAAAATGTTAGGGGTAATTAAGGCAACTAATGATCATGTTTGAGGGCTCACCAAGGCTTTGTGGGTGTGAATGTGCATATGTATTCACTATGGTTTGCTCTAAATTCTTCACATCAACAGTTATTTTTCTTGTCTCTGAGTATGAAAAGTACTAAACTCAGGAATTTAAACCATAGATATTGATTTATAAAAATCAGGATCTTTCAACAAAAGAAAAATATTTGATTCTTTTATGTAATTTAACATTAAATCATTTACATAGCCAAGAACATACATTAAATAGATAGGATCTCTTTGAACCCTAGTTTCTCTTTAATCTTCACATTAGATTTTAAAGAATGAAATATTAGGAAGTCCATCAATAAATTTAAATAGAAATGGATTCATTTGAGCTAATGGCTGAATAAAATGACATTCCCATATTAAACATGATGATTTGGTATATTATATTACACATTTTCACTTCTTTCATGGAGAGTAGACATTTTATGAGCAGTAATTGAGAAAAATGTGAGTTGGTTTCATGAAACTATTCTCCACATTAAGAAAATACTTGAACTGATACGGTTTTCTTTTAGTTGTTTTATGGAATACCTGGTAAAATATTCTAAACATTTTGCACATTGTTCTTCAGTTTCAGCTCAAATTCTCAAGAGCAACCTTGCAGCAATGGAACAACAAATTGTTCATCTGGAACGTGACATCAAGCAGTTCCCCAAAACAGAAAATCAACATGATAAGTTTGTGGAAAAGATGACAATATCCTTTATTTAAGCATTTTATTTGTTAGTTTCTGTGTGTGTGTGTGTGTCTATGTGTGTGTGTGTCTGTCTGTCTGTCCATCCAAATATCTATTTACCCTGTGGTTAGTTCTAAACTTACCATTCTATTTGCATGGTTTGGATGAATTTGTGTATAGGCTGTTTTTATATTAGCAGCATAAATTTTAGTTCATGACATTTTGAATCATAGAGTAGTAGGCAAGGGAACGATTATATAAGAAAAATGCCATTTCTCAAAGAAGAGTTTCATTTGAAGGCCTACAAGATATGCAAGGTAAGTCTTATGAGGTTTGATAAGACCTAAAACAAAACAAAGACTCTCCTTATATAACCAGTTATTTAAAGGAAATGATCAATAAAAGACATTTTTTTGTCAGAGTTCTTTTTGTTGTTGTTGTTCTCTTTGTGTATGTGCAGGTATTTTCTGAGGGGACACGTATATTTTCATGGGCAATCACAGGGTAACTGATATCAGTAGACTGAAAGGTTATGAAGAATAAAATGGATGCCTGGATGAATGGATAGATGAATTGATCAGTAGATTATGTATTTTAGTAAATTGTAATAGCTATCTGTATAACATTAAGCATTGCCTGCTACATAAATGTTTTTAAATCCCTATTTTTCATACAGTATATTCATATAAAAATACAGAATTATATGAAAGGAAAACTTGAGAAATGATATTTAGCTTGAACTGTTTAATGTTAAATCTGGTATCTGAAGATAAACTATATTAGAGCTGGTTTTTTTTTTTTTTCCTATTTTGGTTTTCAAAAGTTAAAGCCATATCCTCCTCCTCTGGGTTTAAATAAATATCTTGAACTGCAGATTGATTCACCATTTTATCTCTCAAGAGGGAATAAATACTGTAAATTCTTTATCTGATAATAAGTAAGTTCTTTCAACAACTATATGGCATTCACCTTGTTTCAAGGTTAAATCTATTGTCTTTTTGTTCTCTCATATGCTTTCTTTCCTGCCCAGCTTGGACGTTATGGTCCTGAACTTGAATTACTTGAGAATGGCAATTTATATTTATGTGAAAAGAAATTTTTTTTTTTCATTTTCAGTATTTGGTTCATAAATTAATACTGTATTCTGTGTGGTCCTTTAGTGATGCTGAGTACTTATGTAAATAGGAATATTGGGAACATAAGTTTGTGGGAGATTAGAGGCAGGAAATCCTCAAAAATAACCTTTAATTACATAGCTGCCCACTATGAAGATTTAACTTTGTTGCTGATTAGATTTTTCTTTCAAATTTGTTACATTGTCTTGTGGTTGGAAACACCGCCTACAGTTTTCACCTTTTGATTTTGTTTCTTGCCTTACATATCTGTATTTAATTCCTGATCCCTTTTTTCTTTTTAACATTTTCTTCTACAGTTGGCATATGGCCACACAACAGCATGCAACATTGAGGAATCTTTGTTGCTCATTTCAAAAAAGAAAAGTAATTTCAAGCCCTCATGAACTTGGCCTGGATTCTATTTTATTTCTCTCTTTATGCAGGTAATTAAGTGCTTTAGAATGAAAATCCAGAGCCTTCTGTATCTGTATGTTACGGATGAATGGTTATTCTTCATTTAAGTGGCACCAAAGTGTGACTGTCTACATGGGGATTGAAAACTATATTAAAATGTATGGAGCTGTTAATTTGGATATTATATTAGAAAAAAAAAGAAATATATAACAATTTATTTTAGAGAAAAAGTAGACTATTGACTCTATCCTTTGGTTGGAGTTGATTAAAAACTTCCAGTTAATATATTACAATGGTAAAACTGTACTCAAATTATTCTTGCTTAGGAAGACCCCTTAGACAACCACTGAGAGGTTGGATCTTATAGAAAATGGCAAACAAAAGGTCTGATCATCATATGTGTATATGTTATATGAATTTTGGTGCTTATTTAATTTTTTTTCTACTCTTTCGGCAATTTCAAAAGAGAAGGATATTTCCTTGTGGGATACTTGATTCAGTTTTAAAATTGGAACCATGATCCTATTTTTAGTGTAAGATTCTGTGTAGTGGATGATCTTTCCACTGTTTCTGTCCCCTGCCAATAAATTCATTTACTTGAGGTCAGTGGCCCTTTAAGTTGAGTAACTATAGGCACAAGTATGGGGGTAGTTATCTGTTGATTGAAAGTAATCTTACCTTTACTTAAACAGTAACCTCTCTGTAAGGCCTGTGAGTTCAAAAACTGAATAGCATTGCCATTCTAGACTTTTAAAAGGGTTCGGTGCTATAGTTAGCAGCAGTGGCATGATGGCCAGAAGGCAGATGAATATGTAGGTTGAATCTTCACCAAATCTCTAGGTTGGTCTACGTCCCATAGCATCGCATGTCACTCGTGTTCTTTCACATTATTGATGGAACACTTATAACATGCTTGGCATTACCAAATCATGAAAATACAACAGTGCACAAGGTAGCAGACTTGACTACAATTTGCTGACAGTATGGCATTTATTCACTTCTCTGTCTTGCTGGCCTAATGGCCAAGATCATGTCCAGTGTGTTAATTCCGATATGCCCATCCCAATGTCCAGCACCTAGTAACATGAAGGCGTTCAATAAGTATGTATTATATCACAGAATAATATAGCTAGAGACAATGGAGGTCATCTAATGCAAGATACTCCTTTTACTTAATACACCAAAAGGGATATAAGAGTAGTTGGCTGTGCCTGTAGTTATAAAACTTTTCTTCATATACATCTTCACAGGAAGTTGAGTAACTTTGAATCACCTTTTTAGAGCATGTAAAGCGTAATCAGTTTTAGAAGGGATAGCCCAAATCTTTTAAAAGTAAATGTCAGAAAGAAAAAAAAGGAATGAAACCTCTCCTTTGAATGGAGTAAGCCAGGCTATTTCCTGCCTCCTAAACAATAGTCTGGGGAAGGAAATGGCAACCCACTCCAGTATTCTTGCCTGGAAAATCCCATGGACTGAGGATCCTGGTAGACTACAGCCCATGGGGTCGCAAAGATTCAGACACGACTGAGCGACTTCACTTCAACTTCACTTCAAATAATAGTCAGTGGCTTTAGAAGGAAGCTTGTCACATCTGACTCTCTTTCTTAACCCCAAATTGTTTGCTTGTTCTAAATTTTTTTTAAAAGGTGGAAAGAGTAAACGAAGCAAGATTAATTTTGTAAGACTAGAAAGCAGAGGGAAATAGAGAAAATTCTCTTATAAATCATAGTAGGGAGGTTCTAGGATGAAAGGGATGGTCTATATTGGATATAATAGCACCATATATTTTGAAATACACATGCTTCAAAAATCTAGATACCATGTCGGGAAATTTGCTGTTGTGATTTTTTTGAAAAAGCAAAGCGCTTTGTATTCTTCATGTCAGTATGCTCATCATAATAATATTGGAAGTTTTAGGTTCAGTTGTTTGGTCAGTGAATTCAAATAGAATCTATATTCTTTTTTTAGTAAGTTATAAAAATGGTAATGTTCACTCATTAGCTGAATGTTTACTATGTATCAGATACTGCTCAATTTTACCCTCTTGAGCCTTTAAAAAATGTCCCTATTCATTAAATGAGTATTTTCTATGTCTGGTGATGAAAATGTTCACAGTTGTCCCTGTGTCACCATGGTGAGCTCAAGTTGTCTCAGGATAACTTCAACAACCCATACAGTTATTTGTCATAGCTTCATTGTTTTAAAGTTATTAGGTTCAGCAGGTCATCCTTTTTTAAGGTGACCAGGAATTTGGTAGTCTGTCTGTGTTTTGGCACCTGTTGCAAAAATTGGTGAGATGAGGTTCAGAATCACTGTCGGTTTCAAAGTTTTGAAAAATAACCTATGCTTAGGAGAGGTGAGCAGAGAAGGCCATGGCACCCCACTCCAGTATCTTGCCTGTAAAATCCCATGGACGGAGGAGCCTGGTGGGCTACAGTCTTTGGGGTCGCTACGAGTCAGACACGACTGAGCGACTTCACTTTCAGTTTTCACTTTCATGCATTGGAGAAGGAAATGGCAACCCACTCCAGTACTCTTGCCTGGAGAATCCCAGGGATGGGGGAGCCTTGTAGGCTGCCGTCTATGGGGTCACACAGAGTCGGACAGGACTAAGACACTTAGCAGCAGCAGCAACAGGAGAGGTGAGTGAGTGGTCTGCTTGTTGATCTTGAGATCCATCTCTTGAACTTGACATTATATGTGGATTCCAAGTTTTTCAGCTTTTGTCTTTTGACCAATCACATGAGTATGAAAAGAGTTTTTCTTTCTTTCTTTTAAATCCATGCATCACTTTTACTTACTGCTCCTTGATTTTCCTGTGGGAAAACTCATTCTGAAAAGAGGGCTCCTTAGACTTTAAAATATATGTTGTGGTCCAGTCTTCAACTGTCTAAAAAGCACATTACCCACAGTGTTGACCTACTGCTTATATCCTGTTGACAAATTTCTTCCCACATTTGCTCACATAGATTTTGTCAATGGCAGAGCTTTCTATTGCCCCAAATCAGCTTAGCTTTTTGATTGACTGCTGGCTAAATCATTTCACCAACCAGAGGGCAGGGAGGACTGAGTAACAGGGGCACCATTAACACATTGACAAGAGGAGCTGACAGAATGTTAATGACATTAACATTCTGTCAGCTCACTATCAACACCTCGCATTTCCTCATAGTAGGAGGGAAAGTCATTTGAAGTGTTTAAAAATCAACTTCTGGAAGAAGCACACCGCCCTAACCAGACAATTCAGAATAGATTTGGGGTCTCTACTGCTCTGCAGCTATGTCAATTTTTCTTCTGCTCTTCTTTATTAAGAGGATAATTTTTGGAAAGATGAAAAACTGATACAATTATTATTCAACCTCAGAAATATTAGTCACCTTTGAGAACATGCCAGTTACAGGTTTAAGAGAGAGGATGAGTCATACTTTGCAAGTAAATGCTCGTATAAAAAACAAAACAAAACAGAAACCTCAACAGAAAGGCTTTTTTCCCCCGGTATGAATGTACTAATCTCGGCCGAAAAATCAAGAAAATCAAGAGCTAAAAAGTCAAGAGCTTTAGGCTAGACTAGAGGGAACTTCACTGATTCAATTGCCTGCTGGTCTCAAACTCAGCAAATTTGGAAGTTCAAAGCAAAACTGGTTTTCATGAGACTGCTCAGGGAGAGAGGGCCCAGGGTTAAAAAAATGAAAGAAAGAAAAAGAGAGAGAGTAAGCATGGAGCATGGTCAGTAATAGGGGAGAAAGACTGCTTTTTCAAAAAGGAAGATTGTTAGCATTCTTTGAAGT